CCGCACCCCCACCCGACGGTTATGATATATAATTTTGTTTTCCGAGTAAATGTTGTAATTGGTCTTGGCACAACTGGCTTAGTGTTTATTATGTGCAAGAAGTCTTGGGTTCGAATCCCCACCATGCCATTTAAATTTTTTTTATTTAGTAGAGATTAAAAAAAGTAGCAAGTTGTGGGAGTGGTGGTTTGAACCCAACTAATAAATAGTTTACTAAATTTGCCACAACATCTACACCACTCAACTACAACTCTTCTCTTGAAACAATAATATATTAAGAAAGTTTTACTCCTTGAACGCTAAAAATCCTCAATAACTTTAAACAACCATAACTTTGAGCTCCAAAATCCAAGCGTTATGATTGTTTTTTTCATTTCCCATAACTTTTTAAGGACTACAATTTTTACTAAGAATAAATTTTCAAAACAGGAATTATATTTGGATATACAGGGTTCTGGGAATAGCTTCCCTTCCCTTTTCACAAATCCACGTACATTTAGGAATTATGTCTATGATAAAAGTTGTAGTCCTTAAAAAGTTATGCGAAATGAAAAAAAAATTCATAACGCTCGAATTTTGGAGCACAAAGTTATGGTTTTTTTTTATAGAAATCTGCACTCAGCTTTATTAAGTAGACGTCAAAACTACATCATCCAGTTTTAACTGATCAAGAATACTGATCGGCGGCCTATCAAACCAGACCTCAGTAACATCCCAACGAGTATCCATATGCGCCATTATATGAGCTACCTTATTCGCATTTCTTCTGGCATAATGGACGCTGCCCGCTTCTTCTTCCTGAAGCATCTTCCTGATGTTCGACACAATAGTGCCCAGCTCTGTGAAGTTAACACGATCTTCCCTGATACAATTGACTACCGTTAAACAGTCTGATTCCACCATTGGCTTTCCGAGCTGGTGTCGTCGGACAAGCTGTAGGCCGAGTTCCATAGCTAAAGCTTCACCCATCTGTGGGTCATACTTCCCACGCACTTGTTTTGCAGCTGCCATAATAAATCTACCATCATGGTCTCGAATAATCACTCCCAAACCAGTACTCCCTTCTCTGAAGCCAGCATCTGTATTCACCTTGATCATTCCTCCCGGTGGTCTCTGCCAAGTATCCACAACTTCTGGGGCAGGAACATGCTGGTCGTAAAGTTGATGCTGTCGGTATTCATCGAGGTATGTCATTGCCCTTGGCACTATCTCACTTTCTTCCAACTTCATGCCATTAAAAAGATGGGCATTACGTTCTTTCCATAAAGACCATAATAGCACACTCCATTCTTCCGTCATCTCCTTTGGCATAGTATTAATCACCTTCGCCACCCACTCCTTACATCCTTCATCTCCTCGCAATTCAAAACACTGCACAACCTGGGAAGTACGCCACAGTCTCGAAGTCCAAGCACACTCACTGAAGAGGTGGACTTGCGTTTCCTTAAGGTTACAAAAAGGGCATGCATCCCCTCGTCGAGAACTACGAATACTCCCCCGATCCCCTGTAGCCAGCGATTCCCTAGTGAATCTCCAGAGAAATACTCGAACTTTAGGTGGAATATTAAGAGACCAAATGCCTTTCCATAAAGATGTTTCACTCGTCGCCTGGTCACCCTGAACTTCTCGAACATCTTTCAGCCATTTTCGGTACCCATCTCTTGCTGTATAATTTCCATCTCTACTATCCGCCCATATCAACCTGTCCGGAATTGAAGAGTCTCGTAACGGGATTTGACGAATGGCCATCGCCATCGTTGTTGAGAAACAACTTTCAAGAAGCGTCTCATCCCATTGATTTAACTCTTCGTCAACCATATCTCTAACAGGCGAGTCAACGGGCAACCCCATCGGTGGCGATTGCACAAAGTACCCTGGGACTGATGGAATCCAGCGGTCCCCCCAAATCTTCGCAGTAGCTCCGTTGCCGATCCTCCACCTGAGTCCACTCACCAGAAAATCTTGTGCCCCCATCAAACTCCGCCACACATAACTTGGTCGATATCCAACACTTGCATCCAGAATATTATCATTCTTGTGGTACTTAGCTTTCAAGATCCTCGCTATGAGTGATTCTGGGCGTTGGTATAAGCACCAGAGCTGCCGAGCAAGGAGGAATAGATTGAACCCTCGCAAGTCCCGGAAGCCCATTCCTCCTTCTGACTTCGGTCTGACTAAGGATGCTCTTGCAATCCAAGGTATTCGTCTTTCCTCACCTTGCTGCCCCCACCAAAATCGCATAATCATGCTATGAATTTCATCAATGATCCCATCAGGGACCTTAAACACGGCCATCATATACGTTAATTGAGCCTGCGCGACGGATTTAATTAAGACCTCCCTTGCCGCTGCTGACATCGTTCTTTCTTTCCATCCAGATAACTTTTTCCTAACTCGCTCCTTCAAATAAACAAAGAGAGCCTTATTTGATCTTCCCACCTGTGTCACTAGTCCCAGGTACTTATCATGTTTATCAACCGTGCGCATCCCCAGGGTCGAACTGACCAACAGCTTCTGATGAGGCTTCACATTTTCCCCAAAACTGACTTCCGATTTCTCAAAACTTACTAGCTGGCCAGATTCAAGTTGATAGTCCCCCAGAATTCTCCTCAGCTCCTTACTCTCCTGTACCGTTGCCCTAGCAAAAAAGATAGAGTCATCAGCAAAAAACAGGTGCGAAATCACCGGAGCTCCTCGGCAAACTGACAACCCATGAATCCGTTTCTCCCGAACTGCCTTAGAAGTGTAGCATGACAACCCCTCCGCCACAAGCAAAAATAGGTAAGGAGAAAGCGGGTCTCCTTGTCGGAGGCCTCTCGACGGGGTCAGCAGCTGTGAACGATGTCCGTTGACCATAATGGAGTACGAAACCGACGTAACGCACATCATAATCAGGCACGTCCATTGGTCTGAAAACCTCAGTCTCTGCAATATCCCTTCCAGGAACCACCACTCCCCTCTGTCGTAGGCTTTAGCCATATCCGTCTTAGCCGCAAAATACCCTGTCTTGTTCTTCGTTTTCTTCTTCATAGTGTGGAAACACTCAAAGGCGGCCATAACGTTATCGGCAATAAATCTTCCGGGCACAAAAGCTGACTGTTCCGGAGAGATTATCTTGTCCAGGAGGCCCTTGAGCCGATTCGCCATTACCTTACTAAGTAATTTGTACAGAACATTGCATAAGGCAATTGGGCGGAATTCCTTCGGCAGCTTCGGATCTTTCACCTTGGGTATTAAGGCGATTAAGGTGTGATTCATGGACTCTGGCATTACCCCCGACTCAAACACTGTCGTTATTAGCTCTGTTACATCATCGCCGACAATATGCCAGAATTTTGAGAAGAAGAGGGCCGACAGCCCATCTGGACCCGGTGCTTTCCTTTTACCCATATTGCGAAGCACATCAAAAATCTCTTCCCGAGTGACCGGCCTACTCAGCTCCCTGTTCTCTTCCTCTCCTATCCGCCGAGACACGGGGTCCAAAACCGGAGTGAGGAGGGGTCGAGGGTCTGCTTGGAAGAGCTCGCTAAAATACTCCCAGAGACATTGGGACACTTGATCGGTACCCTTCCACCACACTCCGGCCTCGTCCTTCAATTTTTTAATTGTATTCCGTTTACGCCGCGCTGAGGCTTTTTTGTGGAAATAATTGGTATTCTTATCCCCTTCATGTAACCAGTCCGCTCTAGAGCGTTGCTTCCAAAAAATTTCTTCATCAATTTCCACCTCTTCTAGCTTTTTCCGCAACGCAGCTCGTTGCGCCAGTACCTCCCCCGTAGCTTCCTTCCATTCTAATGCCTTCATTGCCCTTCTAATTCTTGCTTTTTGCTTTTGGAAATTGGGGAATGACACTCTACTCCATCCGACAAGTTTCTCCTGAACCCTGGAAATTTTATTAAACACATTACCCCCTCCCTCATTCCAAGCTCCAGCCACTTGACCCATACATTCCACATGCTTTATCCAGTGCGGTTCAAATCGGAAAGACCATCCCGATCTTACTTCTTCATCTTCTTCCCCTGTGGTCTCACAAAGAATCGGTCGATGGTCCGATCGATTACTATCTAAATGAGTCACTCTTGCTAGAGGCCACAAGCTGCTCCAGTCCTCATTGGCGGTAAACCGATCCAGCCTCTCCTCAATGAAACCCCCTACCATCCGTCGGTTCTCCCAAGTGTACGGGTACCCCTGAAATCCCATATCTTCCAGCCCAACTTCACTAAGGCAGTCAGCAAAGGCAACCATCTCGTTCTCCACAGCTGAATTCCCCCCCTTCTTCTCGTAAGCCGATAGATATTGGTTGAAATCTCCACCACATATCCAAGGTCCGGACCAACGTCCTGCAAGATCACGGATCAGCTCCCACGATCGGTACTTTTCTCTGCCCTCCGACCAACCATAGAAGCCCGTGAACCGCCATGGTACATTTCGCGGATCCTCAATCTTTGCATCCAAATGGTTAGCAGAGTCGGACATCACCGTTAGCGACACTTCCTCCATCCACCAAATTCAAATACCCCCAGCCCTGCCTCCACGTGAAACATCACATGGCCAGCTGCGCCCATCATAGTAGCCCATACTCCGTCGAAGCTCCTCATTCTCATCGCACAGTTGTTTTGTTTCCATCAGAAAAACAACCTGTGGGGAAACTTGTCGCAATAACGACCTTAAAGCACGAACTGCGCGTGTGTTTCCCAGACCACAGCAGTTGTAACTCATAATTCTCATTTAAACACTGGAGGGGATCGGTTCCCCGCACCATCAGCATTTTTCGTACTCACTCCTTTTGTGTCTCGTTGACTTAGATGGGTTGTTCTTCCCATGTCGGGGGGGTCTTCCCTGCCTCTTCTGAACTTGCTTGTTTGATGACGTCCCTACGTTCCCATGTTGCCCACCTTGATTATCTTTCACCACTTTAGAATACTTTTCCTTAACATTAATCTGGGAGATAGGCTTTTGCTTTTCAGCAGCATTCCCCTTTAATGAATTTGTTGGTTGCTTTAGAATCTCATGCCCTTCTGCATGGTGAGGGTCACGTACTGAATCAGTAGCACGTGGGGATACAGGTGTCTGGGGCTGATCCGACTTACTTTGGGTGGAAAACCCTCTCGTCCTCTCCTCTTCAGTGTCGTCTTGTAGAACTTGGAACGGTTATGCTTATTTTGTCCGTTCCCCGTCGGCTCACCCGATTCCCCCCTCCGGCCACTTCGTCGATCTCTTTTCCTGACCATCATCCATTCCCCGTAAGTTTGTCCTTTGGTGGGGTCCTCCACCTGCACTTCATCTTGCGGAGTAGCATCTGCGTCCATGGATGGGTCCATCGAATTGCAATCACACTTCTCTGCAGATTTGCCGTACTTCCCGCAATTTGTACAGATATGGTCGAGGCCTTCATATTGAATGAGATATGTCACACCTTCGATCTTGTATTGAGATAGTAACGGGAGGGTTAGGTCTACCTCGACACAAACTCGCGCGTACTTCCCTCTAGCTCCGAGCTCAGTGACTCGGTCAACTCGAACTGGTTTCCCAATTTGTTCAGCAATTCTCATCACTGCTTCCTTATTTATGAACTCGATCGGGAGTTCAGGGAGTTGGGCCCATATCATGGTGGATGTAATGACCGATTTCCATGGATTAAAACCCTTAAACCATCTGTGCACGGTTAGGTACGTGTCCCCAAGTAGCCATGGTCCCCCCATAGTAGCATAATCATAGTCTTTCTGATTCCTGAATCTGACCAAGAAACAGCCGTTCCTCATATCGGAAATCTGAATCTCACCGTTTCTTGCCCACAAAGAATTCAGCCTTCTGGCTAAAGGAATATACGAAACTCTTTTTCTCAAGCCTTTCACCACTAACGCCGACCGCCATTCCCTTCTCCAACGGTTCTTCTCTGCTGCTGTAAAAAGAATAGTAGGGCACTTAGGGTCGTATGTTTCTTCATCCAACAGATCATCCTCCTCCTTTTCAGCTAGGGCAACATCTTCAGAATCAGACTCAGCTATGTACCAATTGTCTTCTTGAAGGACTTCGCTAAAGCGCCTGCCTTGTCCATTCTTCCATGTCGACGCAGAAGGCGGTATGGATTTATCAGTTTCCATCTCAACTGTCGGTGTATCCTCAACATCTTTATTGCTCCCGTCCGTCTCGAAATCCAAAGCTCGGGCTTTCTTTATTGGTTGAACAGTCTCCCGGGCGCTCTTTCCGTCCGGGGTGGAGGAAGCCTCAGTAGGACGACGGGCTCCACTAGTTCCATCTGGTGGTTTGTCTTTCCCCACCGGTAGTACCGGCGACCCAGCCGCCGCCATCGCACAAGAACAACTCTAGGGTTCCGCCGCAAAGAGAAAAAACCACGAGCTCCTAGAAAACCGGAGCTATTCGACCACAAAGTTATGGTTATTTAAAGTTATTCAGGATTTTTAGCGTTCAAGGAGTAAAACTTTGTCAATATATTAGTGTTTCAAGAGAGGAGTTGTAGTTGAGTGGTGTAGATGTTGTGCCAATTTAGTAAACTATTTATTATCTTGGTTCGCCACCACTCCCACAACTTGTGGCTTTTTTTCATCTCTACTAAATAAAAAAATTCAAATGGCATGATGGGGATTCGAACCCATGACTTCCTACAAACAATAAACCACTAAACCAGTTGTGCCAAGACCAATTACTACATTTATTCGAGAAAAAAAATTATATATCATAACCGCCCCAGCCCCATGCGGTCAGCAAAATCAGCCCCAGGGCTTCCTGCACACAATAAAAAACTAAACCAGTTGTGCCAAGACCAATTATGACAATTATTCGGAAAAAAAATTATATATCATAACCGCCGGGTGGGGGTGCGGTTTGCAACCGAACCGCACCGGCCCCATGCTGTCCGTAAAATCGCCCGCTACCCATGCGGTTTTCATTGAAAATCGAGCCCTCGGGTGGCAGTTTTCGTCTAAACCACTGGTTCGGGTTGGGTGCTATTTTTTGGAGAAAAAAACTGTGCTATTTCTGGAAAAATCCCTCAATCTTGGCTAGCTTGGACGAGAACGAATTGATTCAGGCGGGAGTGACTGGCAAGAGTTTCCAAGAGAATTCTCCTCTCTACGGCACGAACTTCTTAGCTGTTCTAGCATATAAAAAAACCCAGCTAGAAGTTAATGATGCAAATGACGAATTCAGATCATTGTTGCCAAGGGACTAAGCAAAAAGAGCCTAGATTGATCACTCTACCTGTGATCTTCATCTTTGAACCTGAAAGAGTGAAGCTGCTGTCCCTCTTCCAATTTTACCACCATCATGTACAACTGATCAACAGCGGAAATCAGAAGATTGTGAAATGAAATTGAAGGTTCTGCGGCAATTTTGAACACCCTTGGATTTCGAGGAATCGGGGTCTGAGATAACGGCCGATTCCAATGGTGTCCAAAACCCTCCACCCATTCTTGAACAGGGTAAGCGAGGTTCCGCCGGTTCTTAGGGAATCCGCCTGTTCAAGCACCACTGACCCAATTCCCAGCATGTAGTGAAAACCAATCAAGCTGCCAACTTTACATATTTCCCAGAGTAAAAAGTCATGAGAATGAAAAGAAATTGCTTTCGAGTAACCTCTTGAGTGAAACTGCAGTGGCAAGTTCGGCGATTCCGGCGCCGACTATAACAATCTCTTCTTCATGAACATCTGCAGCGGATTTTGTTGCTATGGTTACTGAGACTCTGTTTTGGGTTAAGATTGGGCATTGAGTACCTGCGAAGTGTTCGTTTGGAGGAATTGATCGGCGGGTAATGGAAGAGAGAAGCGAGAATTGAGCGGCGACGATGGCGATTGCCGGTGAAGAACAGTGGAAGCTTGGTAGCTGAGGAAACGAGTGGAGGAAATTAGTTTCCACTCACCACACCAGTTAGAAGTTCCAATTGCTAGATCTTTTTCCCATGAAATAAAATTAGTTTTTCATGTTATATATTTATCACACTAAAAAAATCTCACATTCAAGAATTCTGAAGGTGACTTTTTATTGATCGAGCAAATTGCCAAATTCTCCCTTTCTTTAGCTAATCAAAGAAATAGGTCATACCTTGCAATTACTTCCAAAATAAATTAACATTTCAATTATATCATACATACAAGACTCGTATACAAACATTCCGGCTTGAAATATTTACTGTCATTTGTTTCGTGGATTTGAAAAATGAGAGTTTATGAAAATTATGGATTGTCACGACTATTTTCTGCCGATCAGGAAATAGGAGAATTCGACAATGCAAGAAATGAAAGCGCGCACACACACACGACACACGATTTCCAGTCGTAGTAGCTGATAGTTCGATTCAAGTCACATCAACAAATCTCCATCTTAACTTGAATCCTCTTCCTCTGAAACCTCTAATGTACTCTGATCCTTCTCTCCCTTCTGCCATTAATGCCATGTAGGGCGGATTCACCCACTCAAGACATTCAGCAAGTCCAAGCAGTGTTGGAACTTGCCATGTGGAACCGGCTTCGCGAACATGTCAGCAAGATTATCCGTGGTGCCAAACTTCTTCACCTTAATCCTCTTCTGTCCTCAAGAAATGATACCTCACATCGATGTGCTTAGTCCTCTAATGATGAACTTATCCTTGGCCAAGCATATTGCACTCAAACTGTCGCAATACACCACTACCTGATCATGATGCAGACCCAGATCACCAACCAGTCCCTTCAACCATATTCCCTCCTTAGCAGCTTCTGTCAACACCATATATTATGCCTCGGTAGTAGACAATGTCACCGACGACTGCAAAGTTCCCTTCCAGCTCACTACAAAACTCCCAAGAGTGAATATATAACCGGTCATCGATCTCCTCGTGCCAACATCTCCAGCATAGTCAGAATGTGAATAACCAGCCACTAAGCACTCCGTATCACTTCTGAAACTAATCCTCACATCAGATGTATCCTTAAGGTGCCGGAAGATCCTCTTCACAACCTGCCAATGCTCCTTCCCATGTTGTATCATGAACCTACTGACGACACTAACATGTGCAAGATCAGGTCTAGCACAGACCATAGCATACATCAAACTACCAACTGCACTAGCATATGCGACTCTCGACATGTACTCCTTCTCAGCCTCTAACTGCGGTGCATAAACTGAGGATAGATGAACATTAGAAGCACTATGAGTATTCAAGGGCTTTGGTGAAGACGTGCCAAACCTAGACAGTATCTTCTGGATGTAACTCTTCTGTGATAAGAAAAGCTTCTTTTCTCTATTCCTATAAATCTCCATACCCTAAATCTTCTGAGGTTCTCCTAAATCTGTCATCTCAAACTCAACACTGAGAATCCCCTTTAACCTCCGGATATCATACTTCGACCTCACAGCTATGAGCATATCATCCACATACAGAACCGGATATATCATCGAACCATCTGCTGCCTTGCTGTGATATACACAACAATCGTAGGGACTTATGTTGTAGCCCAGTTCAAGCATGTAGCTGTCAAACCTCTTGTACCACTGCCTTGAAGAGTGCTTAAGTCCATACAAAAACTTCTTCAGCTTACAAACATAGTCTTCTTTTCCTAGAATCTGGAATCCTTCTAGCTGAGTCATGTAAATTTCTTCCTCCAACTCTCCATGTAGTAAAGTTGTCTTCAAGTCTAGCTGCTCGAACTCTAAGTCATAATGTCCCACTATCGCTAGCAACACCCTGATCGAAGTGTGTTTGACCACTGGTGAGAAAATCTCATTGTAGTCAAATCCTTCCTCTATGAGAAGCCTTTTGCAACTACCGAGCTTTAAATTTAATGCCCTCTTTAGAAGTGATTCCTTCCTTCTTCTTGTAGATCCACTTGTTTGTAACAATCTTCCTTCCCTGTGGACGTTTGACCAACTCCCAAGTCTGATTCCTATCATGGGATTCCCTCTCGTCCCCCATTACATCGAGCCACTGCGTGGCTTCACTATACAAAACTGCTTCTCTGTAGGACTGTGGTTCACCTGCATCCACCTCTTCAGCATCCTGAAAAGCATACGCCACTATGTCCTCGAAGCCATACCTCTGTGGAGGTACTCCTGCGGTCAATCTCTTCGGTCTACTAGAAGCTATAGACTGTTGAGCTCTTGCACTGGACTGTGAAGTTTCTGACACATCAGAAACATACTCATATTGATCTTCTCCACCTTGGTGCTCAAACTCACTCTCTTTGAGAGTTTGCAGCTCCACCTGTTTATCAACATTCCTGCTATCTCCAACAACAGTAACTTTGAACATGGGGTTAAACATAGACTTCTCATCAAATACCACATTCTTGCTAAGTATAACTCTATGCTCAGAAGGGGACCAGACTTGAAATCCCTTAACTCCATCTCCAAAACCCCACGAAACACCTTTTTTTGCTCTTGGATTCAGCTTATCCTCATCCACATGATAGTAAACAGGAAAACCGAAAATTTTCAATTAAGAGTAATCAACATGCTTACCATACCTGTAACATCCCATTTCGGCTAAACCAATATTTCGATCGCTAGAAAGTTCACGATTTAAAATCGAGCGTTTTGATAGTATTTCGGCGAAATTCGGATTATCAATCGATCGGATAAATATACGTATTAAATATATATATATATATATATATACGGTCGTCATATATATTACTTATTACCCGTCCATTTCCCATTCCCATCCCAATTCTTCTTCTTTTACGGACCGAGAGGAGCAGAGCGAACAGGGGAGCTCGGGGAGAATTTCCAAAGCTCCAATCTTGAGCCCTAGTGATCCAAAATCCCGTAAGTAATGCCTAATTCATCTATTCATCGTGATTTATCGATTTAGAGCTTTAAAACGAGATTTTGGTTCAGGAATTTCTTGAATTCTCGATAAGCCAATTTAGGGTTTCGGAGTATCCGGAAGCCGGATTGAGCCCAAATTTCATATACGAGCTTCCTGCAGCGAGGTAATCAATCCTCTAGTTCTAATCCATGAATTTTGGCTATTATTTAGGTCGGAGCCGAGATCGTTGAATTTAGCTCCGGCCAGGGTTTGATGTGTTTTTATCAAGAATTTGACCCGAAGACTAGAACTAATATTGACGGGGATACTGCAGGGGATATTAGGACGGTCTCGGATT